CCATTGATGGCAACCTATTGATTATTCAAATATATGTTGATGATATTATTTTTGGATCATCCAATAGTGTGTTTTGTGAAAAGTTCGCCTCTAGCATGCAAAACGAGTTTAAAATGAGCATGATTGGTGAACTTACATTCTTTCTAGGGTTGCAAATCAAACAAGCTCTTGATGGCATTTTAGTTGTTAATCCAAGTATGTTAAAAATTTACTAAAGAAATTTGGCTTAGAGGAAGTCAAACATGCCAAAACTCCCATGAGTTCATCTTTAAAACTTGATAAAGATGAGAAAGGCAAAGATGTGGATATCTTAAAGTATAGAGGTATAATTGGTAGTCTTTTATATTTGACTACAAGTAGACCGGATATAATGTTTAGCGTGTGCGTATGTGCTAGATTCCAATCTTGTCCTAAAGAATCACATATATGTGTCGTTAAAATAATTTTTCGTTATCTATGTGGCACTATTAATTTAGGTCTATGGTTACCTAGTCATACCTCCTTCGATCTCATAAGATATTCGAATGCCGACTTTGCTAGGTGTAAAATTGATAGAAAAAGTACTAGTGGCACTTGTCATTTTCTTGGTCATTCTCTTGTCTTATGGTCATGCAAGAAACAGAACTCTGTTGCTCTATCCACGGCAGAAGCCGAATATGTTGCTCCTAGAAGTAATTGTGCTCAAGCTCTTTACATTAAGCAGCAACTTGAAGACTATGGTATTTTCTTTAACCACATTCCAATTAAATGCAACAATACGAGTGCAATTTGCATTTCCAAAAATCCCATTCAGCATTCACGAACCAAGCATATAGAAATCCGTTACCATTTTCTTAGGGATCATATCACAAAAGAAGACATTGAACTCGTTTTTGTCAATTCTGATAAACAATGGACCGATATCTTTACTAAACCTCTTCAAGAAAATAGCTTTCTTACAATTCGAAGAGAACTGGGAATGGCAAACATCTCTGAAATCTTATCTCACTATGGTAAGTCTTCTAACCGGTTACCAAATTCTTCCTAATCGGTAGGATGTACTGAGTCCAATAACATCATCTTTAAATTTGTTGCTCTTCTAACCGATTACTTAAACTCTTCTAACCGATTACTTGACCTTAAAAATTTCTAAAAAATAGATCTTTTAACCGTTTAGTTAACAAAATCTAACCGGTTACATCAGATCTAGATCTAAACTAACCGATCAAATACTACTTTCTAGCCGGTTACATGCATTTAAACATTAAATCCTTTAACTCATCTAAACGGTTACCAAGAGGATTCTAACCGGTTACTTAAGATCTAGATCTGAAGTACTCGAGAACTTCTCACCTCATAACCGGTTAGTTGTTCTTTCTCTATAAAAACCGAAGCCACTTTCAAGTGTACTACTCGAGTGCATCCTTCTTTCTACTCGATCACTTCATCATCTTCTTCCTCAAGCCTCAATCCATCCACCATGGTTCGTGTTCGAGGTAGTAGTCTTTGTTCCAAGAATACCCTCATCCGAGGTGGTTACAATGGCCGTGGCAATTCCAGTAGAGGGACTTCTCAAACCTCCTCCTCTTTCTTCATCGAAGAATCCTCTTCATTAGGAGAAGAATACAATCCATCTTCTCCAGTAACTCAACTCAGAAAGTGAAAGAGAACTGGATCTCAAGAAGGAACTTCTCAAACTGATGCTCCTGTTCTCGCTGCCTCTTATCTCACAGAGGAGATGGAATTGTTGTTCAACAATCAATTTCGCAATAGAGGCATTGCTCAGGGTAGGATATTTGAAGCAGAATTTTGCATTAGAGAAAACCTGTCATTCTATGAAAAATTTCAAGCCATGGGATGGGATTCCTTCATCAGAATTGAGGAACCTTACTACCCCACCCTTATTCAAGTTTTCTACACTCATCTCACTCTCTAAAATGGCTATCTTCATTCCAATGTCAAAGGGGTGAACATCAAATTCAACTACAAAACCCTAAATTCAATTATGGGTCTTAAAAATAAAAGCAAGAAAATCTATGCTCACAAATCCGAAATTGAGGTGGATTGGTACAGTGAAATGATGACGGTTATGCATCTAACTCAGAATTTCTTCCGCGTCAAAGCATTTCCTCTCACCACCTCTAACTTTACATTTGAAGCCCGACTCATCCATAATGCCTTGTTCTACTGTATCACTCCTCGGGGTAGTGGCAGAACTCATGTGTCTCATCTTGATGTCTTCCTGAGCTGGTGTATCACAATCGGAAAGAAGCTAAATCTGGGATACATCATCTTTCAGCACATTCTCCAATTTTTTGCTGATTCGGATGACACTCCATCCTCGCCTAACAAAGCTACCAAACTTACCACCCTGCCTTACGGGATGGTCCTCACTCGGATTTTCAAACACTTTCATATTCCTCTTGATTCAGAATTTACCAAGAAGGATCCATCTAGAGAAGACAATCTCTCTCTAAAAATCTTGAAGAATATGCATTGTCACAAAGTCAATGGCATTTGGGAAAGACTTCCTACAGCCTCTGCACCTGCAGCCCCTGTACCTGTAGCTGTTACTCCTCCACCAAAAGTTGATCCCTTTCAGAATAATCCATTTGACTTTGCTCATCTCGATGACTTCTTTCCCGAGGACCCTGTAGAGCCTCAGAATCAGCCTTATGTTTCTCCTGATGTCACTCAGCTCCTTCATGACCAGCACACCGAGACTATGACAGCTATCAGAGCCTTGGCTGACTGAGTCACAGCTCTTGAGACTAGAGCTGATAGCGTTGGGACGTCGCTCATCACTCACTCATATGATCAGTCGTCTGACTTAAACGTCGTTATTCAGCGAACTATAAAGACTTATGATCTTATTGATCGCCGACTAGCCGTTCACAATACAAATGCCAAAATTATGAAGGACTTTCTAAGATTGGTGGTTGAGCGCATTCAGATCATTCCTCCAAGGTTTTTGTTTCCAGAACAGCGCAAGAAGTCAGATGCTACACCTCCACCTCCACCTCCTAAGGGCTGTGACCCTGCTATGGAGATTATTGATTGATTTTGTTGTTTTATCATGATAGTGCTGACCCTTTTGTTGTTAGGTCATTTTATGTTGATATCTTCTCTTTTCCTATGCCTCCCCTTACCTTTTTGAGATGTCAAAGGGGGAGAAGAATGAATGATGTGTTATGCGCAAAACTGTTTAAATAAACATGAATTATCTTCAATACAAATGTGTCTTTATTACAAACATGCATATTAAAGCTATAGTCATTCTATACCTCATGACAGGGGGAGAAATTCCAAATTTGCAATCAAGTTATATTAAATGGTTATCCCACTTGCTTATGAACACATCAATGTTTTGTCATCATCAAAAAGGGGGAGATTGTTGACCTTAAAGGTCAGTCAAAGCCCACCTAATGATTTTGTGATTACAAAACATTAAAAGTGTTCTCAGACTAATATTTACATTGAGCATGCAGAGCAGAAGGATCACATACACATAGCAATTATAACCAATTAAACAAGATGAAAATATTATTTCAAAAGAAATCAAGTTTACCTCAAGATCAAAGGAATCATGATCAAGACTCGAAGAAAAAAGCGTAGATAGACTGGCAAGTGATTAGGATCCTTGTCAAAGTAATTTATGAATTTATTTGAAGCTCAAATATATAGGCTCATGCATTAACTTCAAATACATTTTCATAACTCATCAAGACCTTGCATTTTAAAAGAGAAATCAAAATTTTCCATTTTTTAGATCTTATAAGCGGTTAGGAAGGTCTCTCTAACCGAGTAGGTGAATGGACAGAATACACATCCTGTGAAACCCACCTTGTAACCGGTTAGGAAAAATCCTCTAACCGAGTAGATGAACAAAACAGAGAGCATGTCCTGATCAATCACATCTTGTAACCGGTTAGGATGTCTGTTCTAATCGAGTAAATCAATGTAACCGGTTAGGATATCTGTTCTAACCGAATAGATCAATGGACAGAATGATCCATCCAATCATGACTATTCGTAACCGGTTAGGAGAATCTATGTAACCGTTTACCTTCACTAAAATAGAAAACCATTTTTCCATTGCCAATGTCATAACCGATTAGGAAGCCTATTGTAATCGAGTAGTTGCTCTAAAACTTAAAAGGTCTTATTGCTGATGTAACCGGTTAAGAAGAATCATATAACCAGTTAGATAAGATCCAATCTCATTCTCTCGAGTACTTTAAAGGACTTAAGACAGATCTGTACCTCAGTATAAATTACTCCAACGGTCATTCAATCATTTAATGTTGCGCAACCAACTCCAACAGTCATATTGGAGCAATTAATGCATCTCATCTACCTCTTCACTCTATATAAAATCAAGCATTGAAAAAGGTAAGGGTGTGGTTGAGAGAATATTTGAAATATCACTCAAGAGCATTTACTCTAGCAATTATTCATTCAATCAAATTAGACTTGAGCTTCATTTGATTCATTTATTACTCTAGTCTTATGAGCTTACATTTGTATATATATCTTGAGAGAAATTCAATCTTGTATTTCAATTACAAATTTTACTACAAACTTGTAAGGGTTGGTGTGACCCAAAAGAAGCCTAGGAGAAGGGTGTTCTCCTAGCAAGAAAGAAAAGCAAAGGCTTGCTTCATGTGAAGGTTTGCTCTCCACCATTAAGGAGAAGCTCTAGTGGATTGGGAAGTCTCAAGAGGGATCTTGGGCCGAGGAGTAGGAGTTTCTGAACCTCGCTAAAATCTCTGAGTCATTGTTTGTAACTTCTTATCCCTATCTCTCTTACATTTATGCTTTGAATTATTTATCTAGCATAATTGTTTATTGCATAGTTATTGATTAGAAGTTAAATTTGTAAATTTAAAAAATTGCCCATTGACTCTATTCAACCCCCCCCCCCCCCCCTCTAGAGTCAATTAGTGTCTAACAGGTTCCATTATGAAGACCAAATCCTCCATCCCAGTCTCAACTTTTCCAGGCAGAGGGCTCTGTAATTACTATTTTGGGCTCGCAAGATAGGCTATCGTATTGGCCTTTCCACTAACCTTACGCGTCACCGCATAGCATTCATTTGCTACTACTTGGTCACCGTGGATTTCAATTACCTCGTTCCCATCTGGGCTTAGGCACCTCATGACCTGGTGTAAGGTAGACAGGACACCTTGGACTCGGTGGATCGACCTCCTCCCCATCAGGAGGTTATAAAAAAGGTGAACGTCCACTATGACAAAATTCTCCTTTAAGTTCCTTCGCGTGGCACACACTGGCAGCTCAACTACTCCAATGGGTTCTACTCGCTTTCCATCAAAACCAACCATCAATTGTTCGAACGCCACCTTCATTATGATGTTGGTGCTGCTGCCTGGGTCCACTAAAACTCTCTTAACCAAGCAGTTTGACACCATCAAGCTAATCACCAATGGGTCTTTATGCGGAGTTTGAACCCTGAGAAGATCAGTTTTATCAAATCTGATCAAAGCCATGTCGCCCTCCTAGCGGACTGTGTTAACGCAGCCTAGCCTTCTCATCTTGTGGGCCTACCGAAGGTGTGTTCGCCATAATTCTTCTGATTCATCCTCAGCTTTTAGTCAGTCATGTATGGCATAAATGACTCGGATTGGCTGTCCCTCTTGAGGATTCAACCTCGAATTTCTCCTTGTCTAATTGACTAGAAGGTTCTGTTCGTTAGTCTGGACATAGTTGGCCAACTCACCTTTTGCAATCAGCATTTCAACATGCCTACTTAGGTTTCTACATTCATTTGTTTGGTGCCCAAAATCACTGTGGAACGCGGAGTGCTTTGACTGAGTCTGCTGCTCGAGTGGCTGTCTGATCAATTGAGGCAATCGGAACATTACTTTATTCTCTTGGTACAGCCGTGCCAAAGTGACTCTGAGAGGGGTGATCATCTCTTTTTCTCACTGCTTCTTCTCGGTCTTCCAAGGAACCACTTGTAATTGTGCTATTGGAGACCTCTGAGTGGTCATTTTAGCTTTTGACTTGTTCTCCACTGTGACTATCTTTGTCTTCTATGTATTTACAATTTCATCCTCCTCTAGATGTACGTAGCCATGCGCCCTTCAATTGAGCTCAGTAGTAGTTTTGGGTGACGTCACCACCAAAGATGTGTGAAATTGAGTCCCTGCGAGTAGGGCTACAACTCGGGCGGGCCCAATCCGAAATAACCCGAGCCTAGCCCGAAATTTAGTGGGCTTGGGCAATGTTTTTTTTAATTTTGATTTGGGCCTGGGCTACATATTTTGAGCCCGAATTCAATTAGGACTGGGCTTGGGTTAATATGGATGAAGCCCGAAACCCAACCCGAGCCCGAAAATATTATATATATTTATAATTATACTTAAGTCATAAGAGTGTAGTAGCCAAGTTAGTAGTGTACTTCGGATTTATATTTAAAGTTTTAGGTTCAAGTCATGGGTGCAACATTAATTGATTCATTTTTTACACACAAATTCTTCTGAGGTGGGCTTAGTGCGGGCTCGGGCTGGACAAATTATGTATAGGCTAGGGTTGGACAGCTCGGCTCGGGTTTAAGGCGGGCTCGGGCTGGGCTAAAGATTTTCTATATGGGCCTAGCCTGAGATGAGTGCCAAGCCCGCCCAACCCGTCCGAGTTGTAGCCCTACCTGCGAGCATAGCCAGTTTGAACGCCTGCACTACTTAGGATGGATGGCAATCTATCACCACGCTCATCTCCATATTGAATCTAGTGTGGAAAGCCCGGAGGTGCTTGCCTTTCTGTTATCACATAGTGAACAGACATGATATGTCCTTCTCTATTCTCCGGTTATCGAAGCACTGACTTATGAACAGATCGCAGAACGCTTGGAAACTTCTCACTGATCCCTTTGACAAATGCTTGAACCAGTTAAGCACGGGTCTTGTGAGGCTAGTGGGGAAGACCTTGCATATCAGAGCATCATCTTCGGTGTCTAAGGCCATTTTTAGCTAGATCTAGAATATATGCTCGGTTAGATCTTTGGTTACATCAAACAGAGTGAACGTTGGCATTGAGAACTTCCTTGGTTTTGGGGATCGGAGTATCTCTTCCATGAAGGGAGAATCAACTATTCGAAATGACGTCCGAACAACCTCGTTGTTCATTAGGGGTGCCTTTCAATCACCTTACTGCTTTTCTATGACCCTTTGATCGTGAGTGCTCACATCTGACTAGTGTAATTCGTCGAACGTCTTGTCTACAGTTGATTCTCCTTGCCATAAAGGGATAACCTCGACACATTCCATCTCATCTTCCGGTCCAAGTCTTCTGTGTTGTGGGTCTATATAGATGGATCCTTCTCTTTCTACCCTCCGATTGACATTTAGCGCCCCCACCCTCTCATCCTCCGTCGGCGAATGCTTCCCTTCGCTCCATCTTGGATCTGAGCTCGGCGTTCTCTCGTCATAGAGTTTTGATAATCTACATAAGCTCATCATGTCTAACTCGTTCATTCTCGTCTTGTTGACGGGAGCCTTCCTCTCCGATCATGGTTCCCGACCAGAGCTGTCATCGTTTTGGTTCTGAAATCAATGTATCTTTCTCTTCGTTCCCACAGACGGCATCAGATGAAGATGCAAGAAATGTTCTTCTCTATTATGGAAAGATTTTCTCACTAACTTCTATTTATAGAAGTTTACATTTGCCCTAAACCTCTCTCTTGGTACCCAAGTTTGGGAGCTAATGGACTAGGTTCATTCTTTCAGGCCATGCTATTTTGGAGGCCCGTTCATGATGCTGATGAAGTTGGGTCGGGTAACTGCCCAATAACGCCTCAAGTTTAGTGGACGATTTTTCCCCTTTTAAGGTCGATAAACACTTGGTGGACCAATAGACCAATTCAATTCAGACTCTTTGATTAAGAAAATGGCCCCACAAGAGTGTATTAATGTATTACAAAGAAATCTCAATAACGGTCTAGATTTAACTAATCCGCTACGTGTCAAATGGATCTGGATCATCTAATAATTTCTCTTAAAAAGGAGCTAACTCAGAAGAAGGTTCGGGAGATTTTATTTTTTATTTGATTTCTTATTTTTTGAAATCATTTCAGTAAACCAAACTTTTATGACTTTAGCAACTTCAATGTCCATAATGACGAGCTGATTTTATCTCATGATGGCCTCATTTAGTATATTAATTTCATTAAAGGTCAAATGTATAATTCCATTTATGCCCCATCAAGCAAATTTGTTTGCAGAAGATGTAGTAAGATCGTTAATAGTTGTAGCCTTGTCTCTAGACTCTCTACCAAGATATAGTGTCACATATTGAGAATGACTTTTTCTGTCACATATTTAGTGTCACTTATTGAGAATGACTTTTTCTGTCACATATTTAGTCACATGTGCTTTCTCATCAGTTTGAGCTACAATAATGTAAACAACTTAATTCCAGCCCAACAGCTTAAAATTGTTCACCAAATTGCTTCAGAAGCTTCAATATGTGCAACTTATAATAGTGCTTTAATTGAGGCATGTGTAAGTCCCAAGGACATTGAAAATAACCCCGAAGACCCAAATTTTAAACAAAAGCTAGGAAATGTATACAAAATTTGATGCTATGCATTTGAACAGATAATGAACAGTTAATCAAATTAATGAGAAATGCAAAAAGATGTTGAGCAAACTCATGGCAACCAAACAATCCAGAAGAGTTCCTGTCAACCCAGAAGATGAGCAAGTACAGAGTTTGTTATCAACCCCTAAATTCAAATGATCAGTTCTATGGTTCAAAGCTTTATGGGAGACAAATAATTTGAATTCTTTTTTTTTTATTTTTTTAGTGTATAAACAAATACAAGCAACTCAAAATTTTCACATGGTATCAGAGTACACTTAAAATATATATATTCTGCAAATAAAATCATTAAGTGAGACAAATAATTTGAATTCTTTTTTTATTTTTTATTTTTTTAGTGTGATATTATAAACAAATACAAGCAACTGAACTATTGCTGCAAAGACGTATATAATAAAATAAAAAAATTAACCAACCCAAAAGAAGAAAAAAAAACCTATATCATGAAACCTCTCTCACTCTCAAATTACAAAAAGAAAAAATAAAATAAAAAAGAAAGAATACACCTTCCTCACAGGTACCTAACAAATTTCTTACTTTCTATTCCCAGCTTTCCGTTTCATTTCAGCAGGGGTCTGCCTACCATTCCTCTGCAGAGGGGTGCCAACCCCATTTGATTGTTTCCGAGATGGCGAAGGGCCTACTTTAGGAACCATATTCCTACTGCAGAAGATAAGAACAAGTAATTAGGAATGCATTTAAAAAAGACTCTTCTTATTAAGACATTATCTGAAAGCCATCAAGCATATATCAATGTCACTTGAACGTTACCTTAGTTCTGGGCTCTTCGCAGGCTTTGAATTTGATTTTTGGGTCCTTGAGCCAACCGCATTGGTTATGCTCGTCAGTTTCGCATGATTGAATTGCCAAAGTAAATCTGGCTCCGATGAGTCACTGGTGCCAGCATCAATCTCATCCAAATAATCAGAAGTAGCAATGTCAAATTGATTGTTTCCTGCGAATATGTTGTATGATTGTTCCGGGTAAATTTTGGAAGAATCTGAGAGATATTTCTGGTAGAAAATATCAGACATATGCCCATTGTCCGCTTCCCAACATCCTAAAGGGTTCCCATTTCCACGTAAAGCATCTTGCTTGTTCACCATGACCTTGTCCACCCACTCACCTGAGCCCATTTCTTTATCATCCTCCCCGTAAATTTGATCAGTATTACTCACTGGAGGCCAGGGAGGGGAATTTCCTAACAGCTCATCAAGATCAAAGCTTTTCATCTTTTGCCTCAAGGTGGAGTTGTTCCGAACCTACACAAATTAGTGGATGCAGATCTTAAGCAAATAACTGAACTACCTAAGCAACAAATTATAGGAAAGATGCAGGTCTTACAAAGAGGCCACATAAAATGAAGCAACACCCAATTCATATGTGATCCAAGGATAAATGAATCAAACAGTCAGCTTCCTGACATTAGTTTAACTATCATGAAATGTGACTCATTCTAAATATAAGTGTTAAGTTGGAGATACCGACACTTGGATGTTATGAAAATGAAGCATGACAAGTACATTACTGAATGGAATTCAGCGTATTTTACGCATTGATAATGTGGTCTATATCCACACAAATAATCACAAAGCATTTTCAAACTCTCAAGACAACTAAATAAGCAGTATTCCATACCCTCCACAAGGTAACAGCTAACAATTAAATATTTTTCATGGTAATATGTATTCTGTAGTTATAGAAATCATATACTACCAATTAACATACATTATCGTTTTAATATTTAAGTCAATCGTGCCTAAGAAGCACTAGAAAATATTTTCATAAGTGAGGTGCATATTTACCTCTATGTTGCCCACATCTCCCATTGGTTTCCTATGACTTGTGTGATCGGCCAACATATCTCCTCCCTGTGGGTAAGAAGGAGAGGACACTATGCTGCATGGGCTGCCAGATACAGCATGCTGCATGGGTTCCATTGCCCCCTCTTTCCGTGTTAAGGCTGCCCTTAGACTAGCAATCTGACATACGAATTCAAATAATTAATAAAAGCAGCATAAAAATTAAAAAAGGTTCTGCAAGTATAATACAAGTACAACACAACAAATAGAATATAAGAACCTGTTCTTTCAGCTCTTTAACATCTGCACTGTCTTTGTTAATTCGGGCTGCACCAAGTTCAACAGTCGCAACCCGCTCTGCAAATTTGAGTGTACTTATTGTTTCTCCAAGAGCATCAGACTCGGGACTTATGTGAACAAACATTAGTGTCTTGGCCTGCCCTCCTAGAATAGAATAACAAGGCAAAAATATAATCAGAAGATAGGGGAAAAAACAGGAGTTGTTAGATTTCAAATAGATGTCCTATTTTGAGTCTTTTTAAAAAAATAAATAAATAAATAAAAGTTTTAACATTAATTAATAAACTTTAGCCTTACCAAGTGAGTCCTGTAGGAGTTGTGTGAGTTTGCTATTTCTGTAGGGAACATGTGAATTCTTTTGGGCCAGGGAAGAGATCACATCCCCTAGAGCAGAGAGGGATTTGTTAATGTGTTGTGCTTCTTTTAGTCTATCTCCGGTCACTTCAGATTTGTCTACCCTCTCACTTCCTGCCAAATCAACTAAATGCATACAGCCACGAAGAATAGTTCCAGATGTCAAGTCTCTTCCATGGACATGAACCGTCAAGCAACTGCAAATCGATTAATAATAAGAATGAGCATTTATTAAAAGAGAATGCTTGAAATCATTTGCAGAGCAAAAGAAATATACCTATGAGAGCGACTACTGCGGTCGTTGAGGGCTGTTGCACCCACTGCACGATTCCTTTGTCCTATGTTCATCAAGTCAATAACATCAGATGTTGATTTCACTTGAACAAGGCTTGCATCTGGCACATTGAGACCTGTCTGAGAACTGTTGCGGATTTCTAATGTGCTAGTAAATTAAGGAGAACATTAGAGAGGAATGAGAATGGGAGTACAATGAAACCCAGCTTATAAAAACTAATTAACTTATCGAACATCAATATTCATTTAATTTTGAATTCTATCATTCCTTTTAAAACAAATTCAAATTTTTTAATGGCAAAATGAAAGATTGAATATTGATGCCGAGTTTGAAATTCACGAGTAAATCCAAATTTTTCTGAAGGATATCTTTTGTTAAGACCGTCAGTAACAAGGAGATCTCTAACTTGCTCATTGTAAATCTCAATCATCTGAACAGAAACATCATAGCGAAATGTGCTCTTCCTTTGCTCTGCGAGAAGAAACAAATCACCCAACGCTCTGTAATTTACACCTTTATTTTGCTCTGTAAGCTCCTTCGGTCCAGTCTGGATAAATAAACAAGATTAATCAACAACGGCCCATTTCCTTAAACAAAATTAGCATAATTATAATATAGTCTCAAAGACAAATGTTAAGTGTCTTACCATTGTAAAAGTTTTTCCTGATCCAGTCTGGCCATATGCAAATATACATACATTATAACCATCCAGAACAGATCGAATCAGCTGTTGGGTATCTGAAAATACCTCCCCTAGATTCAAGAGGAATCAAAATAGTTAAAAAAAAAATGCCAAATAGTATTATATTTACAGAAGCCTGTGTGAGAACTTCACAAACCTTGGGTTGCTGAGGGCCCAAAAACTTTGTTGAAGTTGAAGGATCGACGTCCCTTTCCATATTTTGATGGGGTATTTATAGTAATAGTTCCTTCTTCAATGCAATCCACGGAACTTGAATAGTTTGATTGTCCAGGTAAGAAAGGTCTTACTCGACAATAAACCCTAATACTTCCTATTTAGCAAGGACAAGAAATTAATTAATCCATTTGGTAACATAAATAAAATAAAAAAATGAGATTGAATTTTGGATTTTCAGGAAACCACTAAATCTTACCTTTAAGATCCTGCACTTGATTGTACAACTTACGATTCTCCTCAAGAACTTTATGATATCCAGATGCTGCATGTGCAAGGCCATAAATATGTACACCTGTAAAGGCAAGAAATCATATTAGGATAAAAGTCATGAAAACCTTGCAGAACTGCGTTGCCACCCTCTAAAAGAAATTGGAACAAAAGGGGAGGGGAGGAAGCAACACTGAAATTAATCAAGATTTCTACCAAGATTCTGCATCTCCTCATGGACCTTCTTTTGCATAAACTGCATTCCAGCTTTTGTAGTATGAAGGGTTTGCTTCAGCTCCTACAGAAAAGTAAATAAACATAAATGTACTCATATAAAAGATGACGCTTGAAAAAATGTGAGCACATCCAGATCATACCTTAATATCTCTCTCTTGTTGGTCAAAGATTGTTTTCTGCTTCAGCAATTGTTTCTTTGACTCCTCATCAGAGTTGTTTTTACGAAAGCATTGCTCCATCTTAATCCGAGCTACATTTTTGTCTTCTATCTACATCATTTAGCAATAGAGAAAGAAAAATGTCATATTATAAACTGAACTCCAGTTCAGAAATGTCATGAACTTGCAACAAATATGTACTAGATCACAATTAATCCTACAAGGTTAATCTTTAATGAGATTTCTCAATGATTACCTTCAAATCACCAGAAGCATGTTTTAAAAGAGATGCATTCCTTTGAGAAGTGGCCAGATCTTTTGGACTTGTTTTCTTCTGTTAAAAAAGAATGTATGCATGAAAATAGATAATAAGATGATGATATTTGAAAATGAACTTTCTAAGTCCCAATACACGATGCTTGTAGCCTAAATGATTCTTACAGTCATAATCTAAATCTACTATTAAAACTCAATGCATACTTGCAAAAAAGTTTTTACAAGTGATCAACTCGCCAAGCATTATGTTTCTTCTATAAAAGAAAAACTGGTACTGCTGAATGACAAATTACCAATTCAACTTGGCTTGAAATGCGATGCTCAAACTCCTCGACAACCTTATTTAGCACGGATTCCACCAGCTGATACAAGTAGAAGAGAAATACAGCTCATCAGAGTTGAGAATGATAACTGTAGCAGTGTGGCAATAGAAAAAAAACACTCGAGATTAGACAAAAATTCCCTTATTAAAATATTATTTGAACATTTCTTTTGAGCAGTCTATTATATTTGTATAATGGTGGAAAGCACTGCAAAATATCGTATAATAAGCATTCGACCATTTTGACTTCAGATTGGAAACACCTGATTGTCAATTTTAGGCTCATGCATTGGCACTGCATGCTCATGATACATAGACAGTTCACAACAATTGCATGTGTGATGCAGTACACAAGAGCATGGCAATTCCCCACTAATTACAGCCTGATTATGCTTTACATTTAATAGTTTAGCTGACGGCACTAAGCAAATTAACACTTACAGTTGGAACTTCATCAGGCTTCTTATCTAATAGAACTGCACGAACAAGCATGCTCAAGGAAGAATTAGGCTGCAACTAAGAAGATGAAAACTTATAAGTTTTTATACTCGTTAATATTTGATAAAGCAATCGGATACATATTACTATTAGTGAAGCTACCAACCTTATTATTAGAGTCAAGGTCATGGGATATTGTATTCAAGGATTTTTCACTCGTTGACAAGTTCCTTGACAATGAATTTGTGAATGGCTCTGAAGTTTTTCGCACAAAAGGCTTTACAGATGTTGTAGGTTTCACATTTCCCCCAAATTTCCATACCCCATTTCCGCCGGTCTGTTTCCAGTCACTGTAGGATTTAAGTGCAAGAACACAGTTCACTATCCTTGCAGATTTCCCTCCCTGACAAACATGTAGATTATGTAACAATGTTAATTTCTGAATGTTGGCAATCACAAACTGTGAGTATGTTTGTGAAGCAACAAGGGCACTGCAAGTTTATAAGAGCATTGTTCCACTAAATACAGCACGTACTTGTTCCAGATCAGATGCCTCAAAAGTAGGAAGCCCCATCTCTTGCACAGCAACAAGAAAGTTCCTCACATTCTCAAAATACTGATATGCTGACAAAGCTGCCCCATCAGGTATAAGAGTAGAATCGCATGGACTCTCTACCACCTGAAATCAGTGTAGTACAGTGTAAACTGAAAAGAAAAAACAATAAAGTAGTAAACAAAATACATAACAACCTAATTGACACAAAATGCAAAGAATAATTGATTAGGATCACCTTTGGCACAGCACCGGGTTGAACTTTATTGATTACATTGCAAAGAATTAAACCACTTCTCAAACCGAGCCTAAACTCATCCTCGGAAGGCTCTGCTGGCAAGTCTTTAGCTCCCACTACACCAACCATCTTCCTCAGCCACCCAGCTGCTTCATACCTCCTCGTTGCTAGAGATTATGGATGGCCATAATTACCATTAGTAATACATGGTAAGACAACTTAGGAATTTTTTTAGAGTAAAAAACTCAAAATAAAATAATATAAAACAAAAAATAATTTTCTGCCACTCATTCATGAGTTTCATTAGCAATCACAAAAAGGTAAAATTTGACAAATCCTAATACCACACATATATCATGAAATGGGCAGAGTATGAGAAACTAGAGATTTATTCACAATGCCCATGAACAATATAGATAAGAAAAGAATTAGATCAGACTGGACAGATTAAGGAAGAAACAAAGGGGAAAAAAATTAAAAATTTCTTAGCAATCAGACGAACCAAATAAAGCAACTCAGTCAAAATCCAAATTAAGCAATTTTTGAGTTGTGAATTTGTTTTCTCAGGTCCCCAAACAAGAATTCCAAGCCATAAAAAATTGAAATTTTATAAATTTCCTACTTTTTTTTCTTGACTAGACAAAATTGTTAGAGAAATCTGCACCCAATGAAAGCATAGGAGCTCCAAAACAAGCATAAAACGTAAAATCACACCCACAAAATACAAAGCAAAGACAAGTAGAATTGTAAAGTTCATTTGATCATCAAAAGACCCAAAATCCCAAGAACTTGAATTTTTAGATGTGGTCAAAATATATATATATATATATATTTGAAAAGAAAGGACAAAATTTACCGGCTTCCCCTGCTCTGCGTGACTCCAAATCAAGATCTCTGGATCGAATCCCATGCTGTTGAAGAACATCCTCCACCAAAGACGCCGCGGAGAACGACAATGCACCTTCCATCGCCATCACAAAACACCAAAAATTTGTTCTGCGAACAAAAACTCGAAACCCAAAGCTCAGATTCCCACCATTAGAGCTCCAATTCTCGCAGAAGTGAAAATCCAATTAACAAATTCTCAACAAATCAGAGCTTTTCCATGAAAAAAAGGGGGGGTATTTTTAGCTTCTTCAAGTGAGAAAAAGTGAAGCAGAGCTAGGGTTTGGTAGGGAAGATCGGAATGGAAACAGAAGCTTCAGAGAGGGAGAGAGAAACTTATAGATATAGAGAGAGAGTTTCAGAAATGCAATTCCTTTTGTGTTGATCTTTCTTTCTTCATTACGCTAATACACCAAGGCCATGTTCTTTTCTCTCACTTTCTCTCACTTTCTCTGTCTCTCTACAACTACAAAAGCACTATCTGAGTCTCCCTGCTTTATACAGTTATACACTCTCTACTACCCACTTTGCATCTCTCTTTTCCAAGCTATACTTTCCGAGCCTATTTCCGAACCTTCCATCTCGAACCCAATTTATTTTTTCAATTCAATTTCAATTTCTTGAATTTTTAAAACAAATAGAAGAAGTAATGGTGTTTAACTAAACCATGGCAAGCCTAAACGCTTTTACAGCGCGTGTGATTAGTAAGTGGGCCCAATTATAATGGCTTATCAAACTGTAATGCTAAACTCAATTTATCACACCCTCACATTCATGAATCGCAGTTCTTTTTTTTCTTTTTTTTTAACTATGGTGATTTTATACAATTACCAAAAAAATCACTATAGAATACATGCATTGTTCATAAAAAAAATTACTATAAAAAAAAATTTGTAAACCAGATTTATGAATTAGAGTTTAATGACTCTCTTTTTAGAGTCAATTTTTATGTCTTTTTTTTCGAAAATTTACTCACCCATAGAAAAATGAAAAAGGTTAATTGCACTAACACCCCCTAAGATTTTGATCGATGTCACTTAGATGCTAGTGAATGTTTATTTTTACAGTGACACCCCTTGGGGTCTTAAAATCTTGCATCCACAGCCCTTCCTACTTCTAAAAAGACTTAAATACCCTTTAACTAGTCAATAATTACTTTTAATCACAAAATGACCTTAATGCCCCTTTTCTAACTAATTTTAATGGACCAAATTGATCTATATTTACCCACTTGATGCCATCAACCATAATCAATATCAAACGTGGCTTGGCCTTGCCTTCCCACCGGACGTTTCCTCTTCGCTGCCGAATCCATCGTCATAGAAATATAGAGAGCAAAGCATGTGTGTGTGTGTGTGTATGTATATGAATTTCGATTTGGGATTCCTCGTGGTTCGATTGAGATCGTCATGGGTGGAGATAATGGTGTTAAAAATGGTGAAGGTGATGGTAAGGGTTTCATATTGAGTTTTGAAAGGTAATGTATGTATATGTATATGTATACAAATTGGGTTTGATTTGGAATTCCTCATGGTAAGGGTGGCAACAGACTCAAATCTTGGCCTCCGCGGTGGCAACAATAAATGCTCAACGATGGCGACGTTGGTGCTGGTGCCACCGTAACTTGTTTCTAGTTTTCAATTGCTAGGGCTTTTTGGTTCTTAATTGCTAATCTGAACCCAGAATGGTTCCATTGTACGCATCAAATGGGTCGATGGGCGTGATATCACTCTCATTGGAGAGTAGCTTGTCGTAGTAGGCATCAACATCGACCTTGCAATTGAAGACAAAGACCAACCCATCTATGAAGACCACATGCTTCTTCATATTCTTCTCACGCTTGGGCGGGAGGCTGTGGTGGTGCTGGGCCATGGCTATTTCTATTTTTTTTTCGGTGGTTGCGGTGGTGGTGTTTGGGGTTGTTTCTATTTTATTTTTCTATTGAGACGGTATCTGGTTGTTGTGGTGTTTGGAATTTTTTTCTTCTTCTGTTGTATGTGGTGGTGGTAGTGTCTAATTGTGGTGGTAGCAATAGTGTCTGGTTGTGTGGTGGGGGTTGTGATGGTGTTTGGGGTTATTTTCATTTTTTATTTTTTCTTTCTACTGTGGGGGTGGTAGCAATAGTTGTCAAGGTGTGGTGTTGGTGGTAGTGGTGTTTGGGGATGATAAAGAGATACGAATTACAAAAGAGGACACATACAGAGAGGAAATTGATGAGGGGTAGTTTAGTCATTTAACAAGCCTAATATTTTTGCATTAATCGAATAAAATATTAAGGGGCAAATATTTCATTTGAAATATCAAGGGGTGTCATTGTATAAAATCATATTGAGTAGCCGCTGAGTGAAATTAGCTGAAATCTCAAGGGGTGTCAGTGCAGTTAACCTAAATGAAAAATTAAAAACTTATACTTCAAAATCATACTTTAAATGCCTTTCTTTATGATCAAGTACTACTTTTATGGTTCTAAAAGACTATTAAATCCTAAAAAAAATTTATGGCCAACAAGTCCCACTTTTAAATTTGTTTTTTCATTTAAGTAATAAATTAAAATCTTTCTATCACACCCTTGCTAAATGTAATGAAATTTGTATAATTTAGCAAGAGTATAAATGGAAGATTAGTGATTGAGGAATTAAAAAAAAAAAGAAAAAAAAGAAAAGAAAATTCTAAGTAGGACTTGTTGATCTAAAAAAAATTATTGGACTGACTTGTCTTTTAACAACAAAAGTTAAACTTAGTGATAATCTCTCCTTCTTTTTTTTTTGTTTCCTTAACTGAAGATGGTTAATAGAGACCAGTAGATTCCCTCATGAATCAGTAACCATTGACATTTCAAAAAAGTTCTTTCAAAAAAGTTCCATTAAAGAATCAAATGGCCATCATAAAATCAATTAAATTTGATGTTCATTTTATAATGTGCCCTAATTAATCATCAAATCCATTCTCAAAATCCTTAAGAATGGAAATGCCACTGGTATTTCCAGAAAATGTGAAACAATCAGCTTTCTAATATATGAGTCCGAGAATTGATTTAATGTATGAGGTCAAGAATTGAGGGTGTCATTTTTATTATTAATATTATTTTGAAGAATTAACGTCACGCAAGATCAAACGACAAATCAACCTAACATTATTTAGCATCAATCACATCCCATTTTGAAGGTAGGGCACGCACATTTGGCAACTTTATTCCGAATTTCTATCCGTATTGTTTACATTAAACAATCATTATGTTATAAAAGTTCCGATTGACAAGTATATTTAAGTTTGGAAGATGTCAAATTTCTGCCTAATTTTGTCCCATAACCTTTCCACCCATCACAATGTCTTTGAATGAAAGAGTTTACTTTTATCCAGAAAAAGTAGGAAAAAAATTCAATAAAATTAAATTCATCAGAATAATTGCACTATTTGTAGGTATAATATGATCATAAAAAAAATGCATTATTGACTTTTTTTGGCCATAACAAATTATGAGTTGCCAATGGACTTTACAGTCTAATTATATAACCATTTGGTCTATGCAATTCCCTCCATTGTTATTGGAACAAAATTCAAAATGGTTGAATCTTTTGTTAATGTAATTGTTTTTGTCCTCTTCCTTAATGCTTTTGCACATAACGTCATTGCAGGCCATGTTAAATGAGTATTTTATTTATTCTTTGGTCTTACATGTTATTCAAATTGAATAGATCCTCCTAATGTAATGAATTTTAAAATATAATTTTTTTAGGGAGTTGTCTCCTTCACGTTCGAATGACAATTTTGTCCCCGCTATTGGCCTCCCATTTTCAAAGTAATCGAAAAAAAATATTTTTTGATTTTAATCTATTTGACACTTGTTATATTAATTTAATGATAGTAATTTAATTATAACACTTTATAATACATTAATACATTTTTATGAAATTATTATCATAATTCGAGAGTCTGTATTTAACAAATTCACTAAGTATCAATAATTCAGAATCATCTAATAATTTCTCAAAATAATCATTACTTGATTAAATGATATGATCCCTCAAAAAGCGAATTGTTATGTCGTGAGGTTGATACACCAAATAAGCATTTTGTATAAATAATTTTATTTTATTTTTTTCTCTAGTCTTAACCTTTTTTTACACCTTGCAGGTGAATCAATATTGAATAATGATCTTTTAATTTGACAGATTCAGAAGAATAACTATTCCACATTTTGACTTGGGCACATGACACATTTATGAGGCTAGCCCCAAGAACTTATTTTTGGAGACATTTTCATAAAAAATTATAAGTAATTATTTATGGTTGTTTTTACTATGAGAATTATGGTGATTTTTATTACCATCATTATTACAACCAAAAAAAAAAAAATTGGAGTTTCTCTTTCAAACTTATGGAAGGAGGTCCCGGCTTTTCAAAGGGTCTCTAATATACATATAACTATATCTATATATAGAAACCTTTCAAAAAATAATTAAATATACTATCCCTATAGAACTCATCTATAATAAATAAGAAATTTCAAATTTTAGTAACGCAAAGGAATGGTACTTACTCACGCAGAGAGAGAGAGAGAGAGAAATCACGTTGTCTTCATCCTACCATTAATGCTGTGTTAAATTTTAATGATATGTATCGTGATCTTAAATTTACACATGGTAACTAAAGGATCAAATGACTTAGCGGTATCATTTTTTTCTTTTTAAAAGAGAGATCGGGGATTCGAACCTCGGTGGAGGTAGGGTGTGCGTGTCTTTGCTTTAATTTTCAAAAAAAAAAAAAAAATTATGCATGGTATTTATGTAACCATTCACTTCATAAGTTTTTTTAGGAAATTATTACATATAAATGGTGTTAATAAATCATATTTACTATTTGATAGAGTTAAAATCTTATAATTTTAAAAAAATGAAAACATGAAAAAACACTATTTACCCTCATAGAGGTATTATATTTAGGTACATATGTATCACTTTTTATGCACGCGTGTATTATTTTTTGTGCATTAGGTACCACTTTTGTGCACGTAGGTACCATTTTTTGTCAGGTCTAACTTTTTGTGCTGCATAAAAAAATGATACATGATGCATAAAAAGTGGTACCTATGTGAATAAAAGTGGTTCCTCTATGCCCAAAATAAAAGTGGTACCTAATACACAAAAATTGATACATGCGTGCACAAAAAGTAACACATATGTGCCTAAAAGTGATATATATGTGAGAGTGAACATTGTTTTTTCATGTCTACGTCAGTATTTTGATCAATTTCATTTTTTTGAAACTATGAAATTTTGACTCCATCAAATGTTAAATATAGACCATTAGAGCCATTTATACGTAATAATCCCAAAGTTTAAAAATATATGTGTGTGTGTATATATATATATATATATATATATATATACTATACTTTTCAACACATGCACTCTATTACTAGTTTGTTTGGTTTGGGATTTTTTTTAGATTCTCTTACTTATGAAGTTAAAAAATAATGTTATTTTATATTGAAATCCAATGGACGGGTTACCCTGAGGGGTTGGCTTA